TTTCCCCACTCCCGTCCACGTCTAGTCACGCGTGGCCCTTCGCCGGCCAACACTGACCCTAGTCGCCATGGGTGGCTTCTTCGACAAGGGAAAGCCTGGGCCGGCTTGTCGCACGGTCGTGCCAAGAAAGGAGGGCTCACCGGCCACAGGACCGGTTATACATTTCCGTGCACCGGGCGCAGTACCACTGCCGTGGCCGAATGTCAACCTCCCGCACAATTGGCATCTCGACCCCCACCACATCCCGGAGTGGGTGCGTGCAGAGGAGATCCGCAAACGGCATGTCATCCTCACGCTGGAGCAGCGCACCGACTCGGCGTACGCGACAGTTAGTCCTAACTGAGACGTTTGATTCACTACGGAGCACAATGTGCGCCGTCGCGGCGCCGTTCAGGTCAAGGCCCGCCCTGCACCGCCGCCGCCAGTAGTGAAAAGGACAGGAAGGCGAAGGCGGAGTACCAGGTTGCACTAGAGGAGACACTCCAGCGCGAGGAGGGCACACGATGGCCTAAAGGAGGCGCTCCAGCTCTGCATGACCGGCAATTGCGTCTACCTGCCAGCGCCAGCGCCAGCGCCACCACCCGCACACGTCAGAGTTGGGCTAGTTTTTTTAAGTTTTTATTTATGTTTTACGTATAATTATGTTTGAAGTGGACTTTGGCAGGTTTTAATGTTTAATTATATTTTAATAATTAACATGTTTTTAAATTTGGATAGTTTATATTTCTATTTAGCTTTTTTTCTAAAACCACATGGACTAATGCAGTTGGGCCCACCTGCGACCCAAATCAAAAACCAGATACGCGCATCTGCTCAGCCACTCAAACAGACAAAAACTACATTCATTTGCGTCGGCCGGTTGGAGTTGCCCTAAAACCTCTTTGATCTCACACACACTGGATGGGGTTTGATACGGCCGGTTGTGATTTACTCCCTCAATATCAACATATAAGACGTTTCTTGCCACTGTCATAGTGTCAAAACATGGTCCTATATTTTGATACAGAGATTACACTGACTGACAATAGCTTTGAAGACACCACAAAAGAAGAGAAATGAATTGTGATTTACTCCCTCAATATCAACATATAAGACGTTTCTTGCCACTGTCATAGTGTCAAAACATGGTCCTATATTTTGATACAGAGATTACACTGACTGACAATAGCTTTGAAGACACCACAAAAGAAGAGAAATGAATGTCTATGCACCGACAAAGGGATCACAGAATAACACGTTGCACTTTTATCAGATTGATACAACAGTGCATTGCAAATTCAACACAAAATGTATGCCTTCCACCTTAACAAATGACTGCAGCCTAGCATAACTTCTCAGTGTGGAGGAGAATGGGGGGAAAATGCATCCTTTAAAATTGTCATTAAACAAAAGAGTACAAGCTACCTTTCATATTCACAAACAACAATTAGGCTGAATGACTGATCAAATGGTGATTTTTGCCTATGCCAGAGAACGACGTTGGTCATCTTGGGCCAGACAGTTCAACGGCGCGGAGGTTATATGTGGAGTCAACAATCCAGTCGTTGCGAAGAGGAGCCAACTCTGCCTCCTGCCTGACCACCTCCACCTTCTGCCATTCCTCCCATCTCTCTGCCAAGCCGTCACCTTCCAGCATCCTCACGACCTCTGACATCTTGGGGCGCTCCACTGGCGAGCCCTGCGTGCACAGCAGCGCTACCTGGATCAGCGATTCCACCTCGGTCTCTTCATAGTTGCTCTGCAAGTCTGGGTCCACCAGCATCTCAACTTTTTTCTCCTTCAACAATCCTTTCACCTGTAGAATTGGCAGTTGAATTAATCATTTGCCCACTTGTTACTGATAACAGAGTATAATGCATCCCACATATGATACAACTGGTTGTCTCTAGTGACAGCATATTAGCACATTCTGTCCTGGAAGGATGAACTGCCAGCTTGTCACTCACCAATGTATACCCTCTATATAACAAGTTAATGGGGCTAAGGACAGCCCATTATTACATGGGCTTGGTGACAATCATTTATAAGAAATCTTAAATTCCAAAACAGCATGATCATGAGAAAAACATTAGATGTGGTGATGATAATTATTTACGCTCACTCTTGAGCATGGTTTTCACTTTGTACTTTCATCAGAATTTCATTAATTTTGATCATAATGAAATAATTGTCTTCCCGTCAAACTATTTCAGCAAGTACAGTACAACAACAACAAAGCCTTTTTGTCCCAAACAAATTGGGGTAGGCTAGAGTTGAAACCCATAAGATCTCAAAACCAACTCATGGTTCTCGCACGTGCATAGCTAACTTCCACGCACCCCTGTCCATGGCTAGTTCTTTGGTGACATTCCATTCCTTCAGATCTCTCTTAGCAGACTCCTCTCATGTTAAGTTTGGTCAGCCGACCTCTCTTGACATCATCAGCATGCTTTAAACGTCTGCCATGCACTGACGCTTCCTATAGAACCTGAATAAACGTGGCATGCGTTGTATATGCCCAAACCATCTCAGACGATGTCTACTACACCGAACTGTTGGACATGTTGCCTTTTAGTTGGCCAACATTCATCGCCATACAACATCACAGGTCAAATCGCCGTCCTTAGAACCTGCCTTTTAGCTTTTGTGGCACTCTCTTGTCACAGAGAACGCCAGAAGCTTGGTGCCACTTCATCCATCCAGCTTTGATTCGATGGCTCACATCTTCATCGCTATCACCATCCTTCTGCAGCATTGACCCCAAATATCGAAAGGTGTCCTTCTAGTATACCACCTGCCCACCAAGGCCAACCTCCTCCTCGTGCCCACTAGTACTAAAACCACACCTCATGTACTCAGTTTTAGTTCTACCAAGCCAAAAACCTTTTGATTCCAAAGTCTGACTATTGCCGCTAGCACCACATCATCCACGAAAAGCATACACCATGGGATATCTCCTTGTGACCTCATCCATCACAAAAGCAAAAGATAAGGGCTCAAAGCTAACCCTTGGTGCAGTCCTATTTTAACCAAAAAGTTTTCAGTGTCTCCATCACTTGTCACAACATTATCGTACATGTCCTTGATGAGGGCAATGTACTTTGTTTAGACTTTATGTTTCTCCAAGGCCCACCACGTGACATTCCGCGGTATCTTATCGTATGCAAGCCTTTCTTTTGCTCCATGTATCTCTTCATAAGTTGCCATACCAAGAAAATGGCTTCCATGGTCAACCTCCCAGGCATGAAACCAAACTGATTTTTGGTCACGCTCGTCATTCTTCTCAAGTGGTGCTCAATGACTCTCACATAGCTTCATTCTATGGCTCATCAGCTTAATTCCACGATAATTAGTACAACTTCGAACATCCTGCTTGTTCTTGAAGATTGGTACTACTCCCTCCGTTCCTAAATACTTGTCTTTCTAGGCATTTCAACAAGTGACTACATACGAAGCAAAATGAGTGAATCTACACTCTAAAATATGTCTACATACATCCGTATGTAGTAGTCATTTGAAATGTCTAGAAAGACAAATATTTAGGAACGGAGGGAGTAATATACTCTGTCTCCATTCCTCCGGCATCTTGTTTGCCCGAAACATGATGTTGAAAAGCTTAGTTAGCCATACCATCGCTGTCTATGAGGCTCTCCACACCTCAATGGGGATACAATTAGGGCCCATTGCCTTGCCGCATTTCATCTTTTTAAAGCTCCCTGACCACAGACTCCTGGATTCGTTGCACACAACCTATGTTGTATCATCAAAGGAGTCGTCCAGCTCAATGGTAGAGCTCTCATTTTCTCTATTGAACAACTTGTCAAAGTACTCTCACCATCAATGCTTGATCTCCTCATCCTGTCCTTCACCAGAAGGCGATCTGCTCCGTCCTTGATGCATTTGACTTGGTTGACATCCCTCGTCTTCCTCTCTCAGATCTTGGCCATCTTATAGATGTCCCTTTCGCCTTCCTTCATGTTTAAACGCTGGTAGAGGTTCTCATACGCCCAACCCCTTGCTTCACTCATAGCAACTACAGTAGTATGCACAAATTCGAATAATTCTCAAATTACATTTGAACTTTTTGAAATATTTAGTTAGATTGCAATCTAATTCAAGTGGAAACTTTGGCCCTTTGGCCGAAATGAAAACCAAAATCGCTGAATTCCAAAACCGAACCACTAAATTTCAGTGAAATTCAGTAATTTTGGCTATGGCTGAAATATTTCTGAAACTGAAATTCAAAACTATGCTCTTGAGAAGAAGTATTTACCCAGTCAAGAAGCATAACATCATCATCATTTGCAAGGCGAGCAAGATCAAATGCCCTCTGCCCAGTAATAAGCTCCAGAAGTGTGATTCCGTAGCCGAAAACATCAGTCTTCTCAGAGGACTTTCCAGTGGATAGGTACTCAGGAGCAATGTGTCCAATTGTTCCACGAACAGCAGTAGTTACATGAGTATCCTTGTAATCCATAAGTTTGGCAAGCCCAAAATCACCCACAACTGCCTCGAAATCCTCGTCCAAAAGAATATTTGCAGCTTTGACATCACGGTGGATGATCTTGGGATCACAGTGATCGTGCAAGTAAGAGAGTCCCCTTGCAGATCCAAGTGCAATTCGTCTTCTGGTATCCCAATCAAGGGGTGGTTCAGATGGCTGACGCTCTATGAAATCAAGCACCATAAATAAGAACAGAAATATTTCAGCATATCATCACAGCAGAAAAGGTCATATTTAATGTGATTATTGGCTGAGGAAGCCGCATTCAGAACGCGTTAGGTACTACAGGAAAGAACAAAGTACCTCGCAAACGTGATGCAACACTGCCATTGGCCATGTATGGATAGACTAGTAATCGTTCAGTAGGTGTCATGCAAAAACCACGAAGTCGGAGAAGGTTCCTATGCACTGCCATGCTAATCATCTCAACTTCTGTTTGGAACTGAAGCTCGCCACCAGGGGTACGTTCCTCTTTTAGTCTTTTCACCGCTACCAATGTACCATCTGCAAGCCTCCCCTTGTACACTTTTCCAAAACCACCTCTTCCTAAAATGTTCTTATTATTAAAGTTGTCAGATGCAACTTGAAGCTCTCGCAATGAGAACTTCTTAAGCTGACCAAGATGAACTTCTGGATCTTCCTCGGCTGAAGAAAAATGAGATGACATAAGAACATGATGTGTGGTGTTCGAGAAAATAAGAACAAAATGTGTGGCATGGATGACATGAGGACACAATTTTTGGCAAATGAAGAAAGGTATCAGTATATGAAACTGACCAGGCACATCGAAGAAATGTTCTTCAGGTTTACGACGGCGCCACATTGCAAATGCAATAGCAGGAACAGCAAACACCAGTGCAGCACCAGCAGCAACGCCACCTGCGATAGCTCCAGTGCTAGAGGCACCTAATGGAATAAAATCCATCAAGCACATGTACCAAAGTGCCATCTTTTCTACTGCCTTGAATATTGACAAGCAAATTCAAGTACTCATAACTTACCTGCTGATTGAGTTGGTGGTGTTGGAGGATTGTATGGAGGAGGTGGGGAAAAAGGAGGATCCCCAGGGCAGGGCTTTGTGGTACCAGGACCACAAAGAAGTGGATTATTCGCAAAACTGAGCCAAGAAATAAAACCTTGTTAAAACTGGCAATGGAGTTGGACTAAACATCATTCAATCTTTTGCAGATAGAAGACCTTATAGGGGTGAAGAGCGAAAAGGAGCCAGTAGATGGAACTGCTCCTGAGAGGTTGTTGTTTGAGAGATCGCTGCATTAATGTAACTGTTATATATATTCATCCCAACACATAACGAAACTACATGAGAACGACAGAGCACAACGTTCAACTTACAGTACTTGAAGAGTAGTGATATCAGTCAAGGATTTAGGAATTTGACCCGACATGCTGTTGTTGTTAAGACGGCTATCCTTCCAAGTAGGCATAATAGCAAAAAACAGTTAAGACTTATAAATACAAGGAAACAAATGATACAACTAATAATAGGAAACAGAATGGTACTGTTGGCACTTAATCTGCATGACAAGTTAGTAAAAAAATGGAAACAAAAAGTTATAGAGGAGTGACAAACACCAAAATCCTTACAAAGAGAAGTACACAAAAAATGACACATTAGTCAATGCATGCATCATGGCATTTGGATTATGCTTTTCAATGAGAATTATCTGTTTCCATTCTTAACACTAGTTCGTAAGCCTCATTCTCCCAAATGAGAAAAGATCGCAGGACAAGAACAACTGTTACAACTAAGAACAGACCAACTGAAAAGAATCTAAATAACATCAAAGTAACATCAGATATGCAACAACAGATGTGCTTGTAGCCAAAAGACCTATTCTTACAGGAATCGAAGCTTCAAAAGATTCCCCAGGCTGTCAGGAATAACTCCTGTGAACTTGTTCAGATACAAATCCAAACTGACCAGGCTAGTTAGGTTGCCCAGTTCAGCAGGTATTGGCCCACTTATGTTGTTGCTGTAAAGCTCCCTATAACCAAAGGAACACATATCAGTTTTCAAGTGTAGAGAAACATTTAGAAGTGAGGAAATATATACTAAACAACTAACAGAAGAAAACACAGAATATAAGCAAAATAACATCTTCAAAATGGCATGCACAAGTGTATAAATCTACAAAAATTGAGCATTCAGTTTTGTCTCCTGTTCCCAACCCTAGCCACCGCTCCAAAAGGTCTCCTCCATGCCGTCACCTCGGCCCCCCTCCTCTCCCACATCTGGCGGCCTCATCATCCGTTTTGTTTTTCTTTCCCTAACGTTTTGTTTCCCTAGCGGCATCGACGAGGTGGGCGTGTTGGAATAAGGTCTATCCACCCCCCCCCCTCCCCCTACCTCGACGACGACAAAGGGCCTGCCAGATCTGTTGGCTCTCTTTAGTTTGTGTGTCTATCAAGGAGAGCAGTTGGTTGGCCATTGGTGTGGCTACTTCGACATCTTCTTCAATGTTGTTATGCGGCATGGTCCGGTTTTCTCTCCAACTCTCTAGACCAGTGGTAATGGATCGTAAGCCTGTTCTGCGTAGTGTGATGCTCCAGCCGATGTTTCTTCAGCGATTTCTAGATCTCGTCCCAAGCGGCGAGTGGCTATTCCGGTCTTTAAAGTACGGTATGGCGAGGGCATTTGCAGGTGTCCCTGTCCTTTACTGTTGGTTCAGTGCAATTTTCAATCTCCGGCAGGCGGTGTACAATCAAAGGAAGAAGGCTAGTATGATTTTCAATGTAATTTTATTTTTTACTGGTCAATTCTGTGTCCAGTTATCTTTCCACTGTGCTGGCTTTTTTCCTTGATAATTATCAGATCTAAGACGCCCTTTGGGTGCCTTTTCTTCAAGATTTTTTTTGGACATTTCTGACAGTCCTAGCAAATGCGGTAGCAAATCTACAAGGATTATGTGCCACATAGGTTACAGAGTTTCTGGATATAAAAAAAGGGGCAGACTGGTGCACGTAGCTCCCACTTGCGCAGGGTCCAGAGGGAAGGGTCCGACCACTTTGGGTCTTCTGTACGCAGCCTTTCCCTACATTTCTGCAAGAGGCTGTTTCCAGGACTCGAACCCGTGACCATGGTCACAAGGCAACAGCTTTGCCGCTGCACCAAGGCTCCCAAACTAGGATTGTGCATTTAGGTTACAGAGTTTCTGGATATCTACCCAAAATATTTGAAGCTTCATCGCAAGGTTCAGTTCACTATCGTTGTGCACAAGGATCTTGTCTGTACGGCTAGTGCTAAGATACGGTAAACAGATTAGTTAGGCCATCTCCGCCAAAGACGGTACACTACTGCAGGGCAGTGATGCAGGTTGGGAGGGGCTTTTGGCATTGGAGTAAAATTTAGGAGGCAGGTGTGCCATTCGTGACCAATCATAACTCGTGTGAAGGGTATAAATAGACCCAACTTAGTAAATCAAATAGCAAGTTAACTCATATGTAATCCCACAGTGAGTGCATTACAGGCTTGAGAGATGCCAAACCCTAGTTTGGGACCAGCTGTCTTCCACATGCTTAGAGGCCCTGAGGCCGAGGAGTGAGGAGAGAAAATCAGGAATGGGAGGATAGAGACATAGAGTAATTACTGCTTTCCCTTACTGATACTTCAATCCCCTTCTATAGAGGGGTTTCAACCAGACATAACTCTAAATTCAATATAGCTTCCCTGATTCAACACCTGCTCTTACTTCAAACTCCTAGCCATTAAGTGTTGGTCAATGAATAACAATCCTAGATTCAGCCCAACCACAGATAAATCTTGTGTCTGACCATTAATAGCCCTAAATCTCCGGCAGTAGGAGGGTTCCCACGTGAGTGTCATCACCCCTCTTCATGGCAAACAACTCACCCTGAAGCTGGGAAAAGGTTAGTGCTGCTTGGTTTGTGCAATATTCTCCTATACAGCCTCACTCTGGAAGACAAGTCCATCTTACCAAGATTTGCCTAGTTCCATGAGCATGGCAGGTACATAGGACGAAAGACATAGTTCAAAGTACACACCCTTGCAACATGACGGGAATCATGGTACCAATCTTCCATTGATCACAAACAAGAATGTGCCAGATAATGAAACTTGGGATGCCATGCACCTAATCAAATAAGACCTGAGCCATAGAGCTAAGTGAATAAGGATGATGTAGAGGGACGAAGTGGGCATATTTGGAGAAGTTGCCGATGATCGTCAGGATAGCCAATTTGACACAGAAGGAAACCTTCGGCGAAGTTCATAGCAATATCAGGCACACACTGATGAAGGGCTACTCGATTAGTTGATTAGTTGCACTGTCGGCACATGATCTGACCTTTCACCACTGCCCATGTCATGTGGAACTACCGAGACCTGGTTAGCGGCAGCTAGGCAGAAGAGTTGGGCACACCTAAGGTTGCAGAACCCAAGTTGCTTAGTGTTGATATTTCTTGCCAAGTAAGTTAGGACTCCAGGAGTTGGAGATAAGTTAGGTTAGTGCTTGAATTAGGAAAGGATTTCTTTAAGTGGAGTGTATCTGCGGTTGTAACCCCTCTATGTAAGGCATGTGTTCCTCTAGAGTACAATAGATGCAAGTCACACAATCGACACCAAACGATTAAGAGTAAATAAACAATAAGATGTTATATGAATATATGAAGTGGCAAGATTTTAGTACTACATTTTACTGAATTTGCATGTAAGATGTCTTAAGTGCCAGTCTACAGTTTGAAAAAACTAGTGCATTGCATCCAGAACTTACAAATATTGGAGATTTTTCAGCTGCCCAAGCTGGGACACTAGTACACCGGATAATTGTGCATTTCCAAGGTCACTGAAAAGAGCAAAAGGGTATTATGAAGATGATCACTCTTGAACCCTTTGGTATGCATGCTGAGAGTTTTTCGTCAACTTACACTCTAATTACACTGTTATCATTGTTACATGTAACATGAAACCATGTACAAGGATTAACAAGAGTGGGATCCCAACTCTGCAATACATTGTTGCTATCCTTCAGACTCTGACGCAGGTTATACAGAGCATCACCTATTATCGACAAAAGGTAAATTAGCATGGGCCGACAGATAGAAGCTTATGAAGAATATATAAAGAAGCTCCTTGAGTGACTATATATGGAACAGTATTGCAAAGAAACAGGTATGCTGGGCAAAAGCTATGTAATCATCATCAAAGTAAATATACTATCAAGCAGCTCATCAATTTGCATACTGTTTGATGATGCAATTGTGCAAAAAAGGATTTCTTATCACTAGCCTTTATAAGAATGCACCCGCCTTGACTCAAACACAGATCAAATGAAATATCTCACCTGAGAGTCAAAATAGCAATTCCTCATTAGCGTGTTTTCTTCCACTTTGGAAGGAATAAGAAGAAAGGAACCAGATTTCTATCCTTACACACACAAAGCAGACCAATCAGGCCCAACTAGTAGAGACTATGAAAATCAACTATACGGAACCATAAATTCCCTTCCAACCAATTCGACTACACGAATAGGAAAGTACAGGATGAGACCGCCCGCCCAACCCTTCATCTCAAGCTTGTGCTAATAAAAGCAACCGAAAATCAGTAACCATACACCAAACGAACCGACCAGCATCCCCACATCAACGGCCATGTAGCAGATCAAAGCAGCTTACCCTCCGTGTTGGCGAAGACATGGCCCACCCCCGCAACAACCATCAACACAGCGACGACCACCGGTCGCCACCTCCCTCTCCCCAACACCGCCGCCGCCATTCCTGCTCTACCGCCTACTGGGCCCCACCTCACCGACGCATAGGCGGCCCCCGCCGGTTCTCCCTTCCCCCAGATCCCCCGAGCAGTACGGATCTGCTGGACCGCCGCGTCGCCGTTGATAGCTTTCTTCCTCCCTCTCTCTTCCCTGATGAAAGCGAGGAATGGGTGGGATAAATTTCTCTAGTAGCTTTAATTAAGTTCGTAGTGCGTGTGTGTATGCTCCAACCTGTAGTAAATTGTTCTACTGGGCGACGGGACCATCGCCTATGCTGGGGGAGGAGAAGGCTACAGCTTACAGGAATCTTACAACTTGGCCGACTTGTGGGTCACGGAGTTGAGGGCCCACATGAAAGCGAGAGGGAGTAGTGGTGGAGGAGTACATGGGGTGTTGCGGTGGGGCTAGTGAGAAGAATACGGAGGGAGCAGCTGACGGTGCGCCAAGGATCTCGTGGACGCGGTCCTTTTCGCCCCCTCGTCGCCCCTAGAGGCTAGAGCAAAATCATTGTTTTGACCTTGTGAACCAAGGAATAAGTATCTTTTTACTACTAAAAATGAAGTAGTTGGTAGCTTGATAGTTCGGTTTATTTTCGTCTGATTTTATTTTCTTCCTCCTCCCACCATCCCCGTACCATTGGTTTTTATCTTTTTACAGATCATTGCAAAAGGGGTAAAAATCACGTACTTCTAAGATTGCACTTACCTTATGTTGTTGCTTCCGTGCACTTGCAACATCCCCTTTGCCTAGAAAAAAAAAATCACGCACAAAATCTCTGCTATCTCTGACTATATGGTATGTCCTGTGAGACACCTACCAAAACATATGTCTGTTCCGTAACAAAAGATCACATACCAAAAAACTAGAAAACACGCATGCGCAGGCCATCCAAATCAGTTCAGATCAATCATTCCTTAAACACACATGGGCAGGCCATCCAAATCAATCACCCCCGCATCCGTAAGCATCTCTACTATTAAAGCTCAGAGAAAAAATCAGCACTGCGTCTTTTGTTTCCCGATGTACGTTTACGGTCTCTTCTGTCTCCCTCTTGGCCAGTTAGGGTTTCCCACACCCGATTTACTCTCTTCGCCATCGCCGACACTCCCTTCCCTCGCTCCCGACTCCCGAGATGCACCAATGTTTCCCTCCATGTCCACCCATCGATGACGGCCTCAAGGAGGATCTGGATTGGCGTCGCCGCCGGTGAGGCGCGACTCCTCAACCTACTCTGAGTGGCGGGGGTTCGAACTCCTTCGAGCATGTAGTAGGCGGAAATCCTTTCGTCTTGCTTCTCGGCTTGGTTGTTGATCTACTCACAACACGGCAACATGTGCTATTACCTGAGAGGAAGAGACTACGAAGACGGTAAGGGACGACTCCTGTGGCATGGAAAAAACCGGTAGGCAATATATTGTCACGTGAAAAAATCACGGGCAATAGTGCTTGTTGATCTGATGTCATTTATATGACTGATCAAAGACAAGCTTATATATTGTTTCCCTCTCCTACCTTTAATTGGCATCCATCTTAGCACCTTTTTAAAAAAAATTAACAAAGCATTCTTCTAATTGTGTAGGTGATGATGGAGTAAATACCGGGTTGTAACCTTATGTATGCATCTTGTTGGGTGTGTTATTGAATTTCCATTGAAGAACAACTTGAATTTGAGATCATTTTCTTACAATAGTTAATTTTGTATTGTCATCATAATTTATGCTTAAACATTAACATGTATAGATAAAATTCTACGAATAATGGTTTCCGTTTTCCAATACAATATGGATAGATAAACTTCTAGGGCTACAAAGATTTCTGATTCTATATTGCAAGTTTATTATCATATTTTTCTATTTTCGCAGTTATCTCTATCTCACATGACTGCTTTGCTTTCATAAGGTAATATACTTCTCTCACAAGGAAATTACAGAAGTAACATCATTTATAATTCTCTATTACACATGTGTTCCTTACTCATCAAATTGCATATTTCTTGCCTTACTCGTTATTCTTTATATCGTTCACTCTATCTTTTTTTGAGTGACCATTGTACGGTGCCTACAGGAAAGTAAAGATATTCTGCAACATGTATGCATCTCATATCCCACAGATTTGGGCAGACATTTTGTTGCTCATGGAGATGTATCTGGTTAGTTTGTTTCACCCGTTTAATAAATATAATTCTTTCCAATATAATTTTATTCCAAGCTATATGTCTGCTCAATGAATTTTATATGCGTGTACGATTTCACAAATGAAGCAGAATAAACTCCAACGTTTTACCTTTTGTTCTCTTTATAATGTGAAAGATTACAACACTTCCAATTTGTAACACCCACGATGCGCTTATATCTCCCACGTGTCGGAGCACGACTTAGAGGCATAACCGCATAGTAGGCATGTCGCAAGAGGGGTAATCTTTACACATCCCATGTACTGAATAAGAAAGTGATAAAGAGTTGACTTACAATCGCCACTTCACACAATACATAAGTATATCATACATCATCCAGAATACAATCAAGGTCCGACTACGGAACCAAAATAAAGAAAGACAACCCCAATTGCTAGATCCCCGATCGCCCCAACTGGGCTCCACTACTGATCAAACGGAAAAGACACAAAACAACGACTAAGATCTTCATCGAGCTCCCACTCGAGCTTGGTTGCGTCACCTGCTCTGGCATCATCGGGACCTGCAACTGTTTGGAAGTATCTGTGAGCCACGAGGACTCAGCAATCTCACACCCGCGAGATCAAGACTATTTAAGCTTATGGGTAGGAAAGGGGCAGTGAGGTGGAGCCGTAGCAAGCACTAAGCATATATGGTGGCTAACATACGCAAATAAGAGCGAGAAGAGAAGCAACGCAACGGTCGTGAACTAAAAGTGATCTAGAAGTGATCCTGAAACTACATACGTTCAAGCATAACACAAGAACCGTGCTCACTTCTCGGACTCCGCCGGAAAGAGACCATCACGGCTACACACGCGGTTGATGCATTTTAATTAAGTTAAGAGTCAAGTTTTCTACAATCGGACATTAACAAATTTCCATCTGCCCATAACCACGGGCACGGCTTTTGAAAGTTCAAAACCCTGCAGGGGTGTCCCAACTTAGCCCATCACAAGCTCTCACGGTCAACGAAGGATATTCCTTCTCCCAGGAAGACCCAGTCAGTATCGGAATCCCGGTTACAAGACATTTCGACAATGGTAAAACAAGACCAGCAAGACCGCCTGAATGTGCCGACAAATCCCGATAGGAGCTGCACATATCTCGTTCTCAGGGCACACCTGATAGGCAAGACGTCGGGTTGGCATAGACCCTGGTTGCCTAGGGGGCGCTGGACATCGCCAAGTTTGGGCCAACACTTAGAGAAGCACTAGCCCGGGGGGGGGGTAAAATAAAGATGACCCTCGGGAGAGCGACTCCCAAGAGAAAAGTAGGTGGTGGTGAGGCAAATGGTAAACCCAAGGTTGGGCCTTGCTGGAGGAATTTTATTCAAAGCGAACTGTCAAGGGGTCCCCATAACACCCAACCATGTAAGGAACGCAAAATCAAGGAACATAACACCGGTATGACGGAAACTAGGGCGACAAGAGTGGAACAAAACACCAGGCATAAGGCCGAGCCTTCCACCCTTTACCAAGTATATAGATGCATTAATTAAATAAGACATATTGTGATATCCCAACATATCCATGTTCCAACATGGAACAAACTTCAACTTCACCTGCAACTAGCAACGCTATAAAAGGGGCTGAGCAAAGCGGTAACATGGCCAAAGAACGGTTTGCTAGGAAATGTGGGTTAGAGACTGACATTGCAATATGGGAGGCATGATAAAGCGAGTGGTAGGTATCGCGGCATAGCAATAGAGCAAACAACTAGCAAGCAAAGATAGAAGTGATTTCGAGGGTATGGTCATCTTGCCTGAGATCCCGCAAGGAAGAAGAACGAGTCCATGAAGAAGACAAACGGACGTAGTCGAACGAATCCTCACAACACGACGTTATCGGAACTAGCCCGAAGAAGCAACACCGGAAAGAAGCAAACAACATAGTAAACAACCAACACATAAACATGGCATGATGCACAACCAAGTATGATGCATGTCCAGTTTAATGAGGCATGACATGGCAAAGTGCACAAACAAACCTACAAATTAAGTTGAGCTCAATATGCAACGAGTTGCATATTGACGGAACACCACATGTCTTATTTAGTTCTCTCTCGTTTAAATATTATTAGAGCAAATTTAATCAAACAACAATTTAAATATTTTAAAAATGCATGAAAGTTGGATATTAAGAATCTAGATGCAATTCTAAGCATTTTTCATATATAAAGTTTTTACATATGATGCATTATTTATGAGTTATTAAATGCATGAAGTAAAGGGGGTTTTCTGCAAAACCGGTAACTCTGGAAAATTGGACAAAATCACAGACAGTGAAAAAAACACTAGGTCGAAACTGAATGGTACTCTGGGGCGGATGGGCTTCTCACCATGGGCCTAGGCCCAAATGGTGGATAGGTAGGCCGACCTTGGTGGTGCTGGGCTTGGAGGCGGTTGAAGCCTGGTCCACGCGAGCACAGTCAACGGAGCTGGCTGGCAACCCGATCGGAGCGGATGAGCGAGAAGAGCGCTCCGGCTTGATGCAGAAGATGAAAACGACAGGTTTAGGGGCGAGCGGCACAGCTGGTCTCCGGTGGCGCAGTGCGGACCCCTGGAGGCGGGGACAAGGCCGGAGACACGGGCAGAGGACGATGGGACGGATGGTCCTGGCCGGAGACGAGACTGAGCGCGAGCATGGGAACTTGGCACGACTCCGGCGACGACGAGGCAGAGCAGCGGCACCCTGGAACTTGCGGGAGACGGCAAAGGCAAGGGGGGGTCTTGCTGGATCCAAGGCGGAGCGAGGGATTGGTGCTCGAGACGGACAGGAGGGCACCGTCCTCGTCAGGAACAGTTGAAGATGACGGCGACAGGGTCTGCGACAGGCGACGATGCAGCTTGGGCGGCGGAGCTCGTCGCGGAGGGGCGGCGCGGCGGTGTTGGTCCTGCTGGTCCGGCGAGAAGATCCTCGGGTGCGGCCGGGTGACGATAATGCGGTCCCTGTGAGAGAAAGAGAGATGTGAGAGGAGGGAGTAGAGGCAGGGAAGGAGAAGGAATGGAGCAGGGGAGGAGCGGCCACAGGGTTGGCCTGCAGGTGGTGGCGCTCTCGGGCTCCAAGGCGACGAGGAGCTTCTCTCCTGCTGA